ATCATATCAATACCATAATTCCCTTTTTACCTTTAAAAATAATTGGCTGTGATCATTACCCATTTATAACCAAGTCCATTTACATGAAAACAAACATTTATAAACAATGTTTGGGAATTTGGGCGTCGTTCTTTCCAAACTACTTCCTGCTGACAGGGGGCGCTGTCATGGGGGATCCTGAGAAGTTGCAGAAATCTTGGCTGTAGTCTTCGAGGCTGCTTTGTCCAAGCTGTTTTGAATGTTGGATCATCAGCGACTGTTTCAGGGGGCCTGGCTTGATCAAACCACATTAGTCTGGAAGGAATCCATAGCTTTTCATTTTCTGTGGAAACAAAAATAGAAATCCTTTTCCCCAGTAACTTGTCCTTGAACTTAAATGTTGGAGTCAAAGCATTTTTAAAATATATAAATTGAATTAATCCAGCAGCATTTCCTTTATCAGTTGTTGTTATTTTCTCAGCAGTCAAACAATGCAGAGACAACACAACAGCATACAGTAACCAGATTCTCTCTGAGCTTTTCATCTTTACATGGCTTTATTATTGCTCTGTTTATTTTAATTTTATTTATTTTTTTTTATTTTTTGACATAGGGTTTCACTTTGTAACTCTTATCTGTCCTGGAATTTACTCTGCATACCAGGTTTACTTTGCAAATCACAGAGATCTGCTTGCCTCTGTCTCCTGAGTGCTGGGATTAAAGGCGTGTGCTACAACACCCAGTTCCTCTTTGTCTCTTTAAATCCATTTTATTTTTCTCTCCCAAGCCTATGTATTTTTTTTAAAATACACTGTAAACTTTTAGCACCTTTTCTTAATGTGAATCTGTCTCTACTGTAAATCTTTATCTTTTTCTGGCCATGAGTCTTTATCTGTTAAACAACAACATTGTTAAAATGAAAGTATTTGTTTCTGCCATGGTTTACCAAAGATGGTGGCGGGTACTTTTACCGCCAGCACTGAGAGCTATGCTCACCGCCTTGGTCTGTGCTGCCACCCAGAAAGCATGCTGCCGGCTTGGAGATGTGGTCACTGCCATTGCCATCTCTCATACACACCAATAAATTGTTAGCAGAGTTATTTGAAAGCTGTGCGGTTTTTTGCCGCTCAAGCTGAGTCAGGAATCTTCCCTTAAAGGAGCCGCGCGAATATCTGCTTGTCTCTAGCAAAGCAGAGTTCAACTGAGAAAAATGCTGCTACCAAGAAACCTTGCTTGTCTCTGTTCTTTTGTTTCTAAAACCTTTTTTGAACCTTTTGTTAAATTTTAAGGGGAAGTTCTTACTAGCCACGTGGGCGCCATCTATAACGTATACGGGTTTTTCCGCCTGCTGCCCGGTCTTGTCCTGCTACCACGCCACCAGCCCCAAATAACACACAGAGACTCTGTATTTGATACAATACTGTTGGCCCGGTTACTTGTTACTTATCGGCTAGCTCTGCCTTTAATTATTAACCCATTTCTATGTATCTTCACATGGCCTTCTCTTACCGGGGAGGCGGCTGGCGTCCAGCTCTCTCCAGACTCTCCATCTTGACTCCTCCTTACTACTTCCTATTTCCTCCTTGTCTCCTAGTCCCTCCTATCTTCCTTTCCTATTGGCCAACAGTGCTTTATTATTAACCAGTATGAGAAACATATACAGAATGACATCTCCCATCAACCATGGCCAGCAATGTCAATCTGTTTGAGAGCTTAATAAAAGGGTTTACAATAAATGGGCGGCTGATGTTGGTTCAGACTTGGAGAGTCTGATATCTGGTTGTTTATGTCAGGCATATTTAAGGACAGAACAATTTTGGAAAAAGTTTCCTAGTTATGTGAAGTGGTCTTTTCAGGGCTGCAGTCTGAGCCAGCTGACTTGCCCAGTTCTTACCCTAGAAGGGGAGTGTGGATTTGGAAAAGGAGAGGTTAAAAAAGGAGCTAGAGCCAGCAAAGTCTGGAGGGAAAATCCAGTCAATAGTGAAAGTATGCAGCCAAAAGTGGGAACAAAGACATAAGACTTCTATTATCATGATTAAGGAGCAAACAGAGTTAATTCCCTTAACCCTCCAGGTATTTGGTAGCCATCTGTGCTATCTGGCTTTCAAGATCAAGAGTAAACACCTGAGCCCAAGTCTGTTGTTATTTAAATAACAGGCCAAACATCCTTTCTGAGATAGCCAAGTGTTTACAACTTTAGGTCTTTAGTCATACTAAGGACAGTTTTGAACTCTCTTATCTTGAGGCAAGATGCAGTGGATCCCTCTTTATGGGTCCTAACACCTGGTGATAATTAACTCAGTCCCATCCGTACAACAAAGCTTAAAACATGATTATGTTGAAACTATTTTTAAACTACATATGACCTTTTCAATAAAGATGAGTTCTATATACTGACCGAGAAACAGTGCTCAAAATAAGGAGAATGACTGAGGTAACATAACAGCCTTTAGCAGTCATGTGTGACTCCCTGGCAGTGTAGAGATCACCAGGCTATTAATCACTTCTGCTTCCATACCTGTTTTGTGTATGTAGTCAGGGTTAAATAAAATGGGATGTAAAACAAACAAACAAACATGAGCAGAAAGGAGGTAGACATTTTTGGGAAGAAGACAGGACAAAACTGGAGCAAAGGGGAGACAAGCATGTAATGTGTATGAATTTGTTCAGTCTACATTAAAGACTTGCATAGAATTGTCAAAAGATTTAGTTGTCTAAATGTCACTAGATAATACATACAAAATTTTGTTTATGAACTCTATATTATTTAATTATCTGTGTATGTCACCAGCACAGTTTCTATTTCTCTAGTGTTGTAATAACTTTTACTATCAGAACTTCCCCTCAGTTGGTGTCCTTGAAGAGAACATATGTGAATTTTAACAGGGATTGGAAATAATTCTGAAAGTAGTTTCATTGGTATTTGTTTTTATTTTGATAGAAATTACAGTAAATGCAGAGTGCTCTAGGAGGAACTGACATTTTGGTTATTTGGTTTTTTAAAAGCACAAATAATTATGTGTTCATGGTTCTACAGAAAGGTTTTCACTTTTTCTTAGTGTTATGCCAGGTTCACAAAACCCTAAACAGACCACCATAAGGAGCTGACTCTCCGATATAAAAGCAATGGTTTCTTTATTGTTCAATCTGGCAGGGACCTCTACTTGGCAGCATTAGAGGTGTCTAGCAACAACTGAGGGAAGTTTTTAGGGCAAAGACCACAAGGCAGAGAGCCACAAGATTAGAGAATTTCCATGGTTACTCAGTCTTTACACAAAGTATAAAGTAAAGCAATAACCATATATTTAAGCAAGGTAGTCTTCTAGGGCTGTGGATTTATGAGTTTGTCAATTAGCTCATTAGGGGGTGCTTTGCAATTTGCAATTAGTGCTTATCTGGATTTCTTTAAAACAAAGGATTGTTGACACAGCCAGTGGTGAACTAACTCCTTTCTCCTAGGGCTGGGCTGAGGCTTCTAGTCAGTACTCCCAGTTAGGGAGCCAAATTCTCTTTATCATTAGAAGTTTCCTTTTTCCCTACATAAGTTCAGTGGCCCAAGTCTTCAAACATTTATTAATTTTAATTCTCCTTTTTTCTTTAAGCGGTATTAAATTAATTGATTCTCATGTGTTGTATTTTCCTTGAGTTTTACATATAAGGTTGACTTGACAATGACTTTTAAGCTTAACTTCTGATATTTTATATTTTATGAAATGCTGGGTAATAGTTTTCTTATAATTTATAATATCTGTAGATGGAAGTTTCTGTTCCACCTGGTCCTGCAGCCATTGTATCCCAATAATCCCATGCGCTCAATATGGGAATTTAAAGTTTATAATTCTGTGCTTTGTTTTTAGCATATTCATAGTTGTGCAGTCATCATCAGTTTTATAAGGCAGTGGTAATTTCTTTTTCAGAGAACTATCTGGGTTATATTGTTGGAACTGCAATCAATTGAAGGTCAACCATACCGTTATTTTCTTGTGAAAGTTCATTTCCAATTTCAATAACTCATATTTCTTGGAGCTTATACAATTTGTACAACTGTATTGTAATTTCTGCATGCCACATCTACAGACTTGTTTTATGTTTTCATATGAATAAATTATGTAAAGTAACTTTTTAGTAGAGATTTTGAGATTTATAATATGTATCAGTACTTTGTGTGTGTGTTGTGTATATATGTGCATGCATATTTGTGTACCTTCCATATTTTGATCTAAGGACAGTTTGCAGGAGTCAGTTCTTTCTACAATATAAGTCTACCATATTAGTCTAACTAAGCAGAAAGATTTTTTTCCCTCTTTTTTTGTTGACAAAGTGTATTAATTTCTTATGCAAATCATCATTTTGATCATCTATAGTTGCCATTTTGAGGCCATTCTCAATAATACTGTTATGAATAGCCCAATATAAATATTTCTGAGGACATAGGCATTATCTTGAACAGTGCAAAATATGATTGCTAGGTTTCATAAGGAGGTACTTTGTTAATTTGTAATAATAGTTGCCTGGTTTAACATTTTTGATACTTGATTTACTTGATCTAAGTTCTTCTTTTCTTTTGTGTTACCTAAGTGCTTATAAAATTAGGCCTCCTTAAGTTTTGATAGTTGTTTTCATAGTAACTTTTACTAAACCCCTTTTTATTAACATATTGACCATTTGTGTAGTATCTTCTCTGAAATGTGTACAAAATCTTTGTTCATAATAAAATTAGGACAATTCCTGTTGGTTTTCTTATTTTTCTGTTATTTCATTGCTACTTCGTGACTGCAATTTTGTTACTATTATGAATCATATTGTTGATATCTGATACGCAGGAGATCATACAAAGACCCATAGGTTGACGATCACTGTTTTTATTCATTTTGATAACTTTTAGTGAATAATGTGATAATGTTTAGTGAAATGCTCCTTTTTATAATATAGTCACAAACGCTCATATAAATGATTGTTGATTTATGTTATTGCAATAAACTTGTTATAGTATGATTGTGAATGTTTTGTTTAATGAATAGGAAGAAAATGAAAGAAGAATGCAAGTCAAAGACTATTCAGATAGTGAATCAACATCTTCAGATAAGTAAGTAATTATAGGCGTTCATTTTCTTGTCTTAAAGATATGCATTCACATTTTATATTTTACTTTTTTTTTTTAGTTGTGGAAGAAAACGGAAAGGACCTTTTAAAACCATAAAGTGTGGGATTAACATTGATCTGTCTGATATCAAAAAGTAAGTCTCTTTACTCAGTACTATTTGTATGAATGGAAACAAAGAGAGTTTCTGTATTGGGAAATAAGTATTTTCCTGTTCCTTTTCATGTCTAGTAGTGTTATTTAAAACCATGTTATTTAAAAATAATTTTTATAGGTTGGTTATAGTCTTTTTTTTTTTTTAAACTGAAAAAGACCAAAGAATTAAGCTATAAACATTTAAAAGTAGGTAGTATATTATTCATTTTATTTTGCTAGGTTGTACATTGGTGGTATTTGTTTTTGGATATTTTTGTCTTTGTAAAAATTTATTACTACTAATTAGTACATATTATTAACTTTTTTCTGAGTAATCACGAAACATTTTAGGAACAAGCTAGTTAATTTTCATTAATATTAAAAAGTTTCACTGTAAATGTATTATTTATTTCAGGTGGAGGTTGCAGTTACATGAGCTGACTAAACTTCCTGCTTTTGTACGTGTTATATCAGCAGGAAATCTTCTAAGTCATGTTGGGTATACCATACTGGGAATGAATACAGTTCAACTATGTATGAAAGTTCCAGGGAGTAGAATACCAGGTAATATAACCAAACATTTTGTTTAGTTGAAATAAAAGAATTAATCACATTTGTGAAATACAGGTCTAATTTAATGCCCTTTATAGTTAATTAAAAGTGCTAAATTATTTTAATAACTTTTTTATCTTTGTAATGTCTATAATAGTTCTAACAATGGATCTCATATTATTGTTTTTTTTCCAATGTGTTTTAAATTGTTTCCTATGCCAGGAACAATATAGTTAGAAACTTTTAAATGTTGGGGTAGAGGTAGTAAGTCATTTATTTATTGCTTAAATTTATTCCTTAAATTTATCTCTTTCTTAAAATTTCTTAAAATTCTTCACTGTCCAGTCATACAGCTGTTCAGTCTGAAATAAACACACAGAGGCTTATAAACTGTTTGGCCTATTGCTCAGGCTTATTACTAACTAGCTCTTACAACTTATATTAATAATGCCATATGGCATGTTTCCTTTTCTCCAAAAAGGCATTCACATTTTGCTTTCTGTGTATCTAGCTGGCCTCTTGAAATCTGCCTTTCCTTTCCCCAGAATTCTTCCAGTCTGGTATCCCCATCTTTACTTCCTGCCTGGCTACTGGCCAGTCAGCATCTTATTAAACCAATATAAGTGACAAATTTTTACAGTGAATAAGAACATTATCCCATGTCAATACAGAGTTGTTTCTTTTAAATAGTGCTAAGCTTATGAATGTTTTACTTGGATGTATGTTTATGAATCATGTGACCTTGGGTGCTAGAAGAAGACATTGTAAGCCCTGGTGTGGAATTATAGATGCTAGTGAGCCTCCATGAGTATGTGTGAAATTGACCAGGGCTCTTTGGAAGAACAGCCAATACTTTTAACCTCTAAGACATCTTTCAAGTTCATATCTTTTAGAGTCTTTGAAAATAACTTTTGGAATGGAATGATGCTGCCAAATACAGCTGTGAACTTATAAGCATGTTTCATTGAGCACATGCTTGAGCTGCTTTTTAATTTATGTTTTTAGTTGTTTCATAATTATGTAGTTTTTTATTTTGTTGTTGTTCAAGGTTGGTTTTATTTTCACTTGGATGGCAATGTAATGTGTATAATGATTTTAATAAGGTAGCTCATTGTATTGTTATTCCAAAATGTTATGTTTTCTTTTGCCAGGAACAATATAACTAGAAAATTAAAAAATCTGCATGCAACCAGCTTTCAAATATAAACAAAAAAAAAAAAAACAAAAAAAAACTTTCCCTACACTTGTAATGTAGTTTTAGAATTTGAATAGGAAAATTAAATGCTGACAAAGTGATATAACTTCTTATTTTAAACCAGAGAGGATATGGAGTATATGAAAGAGATTAATAGTCCTATCTGACCTAAAATTCTGCATAGTGGAAGCTGGTCGAATGTCTGCTTCTGCTTCCAAAATGTTGAAATTGCAGGCATAAACTTCTCCTCCAGCTCTTGATTGTATGCATACATGGATGGGTTTTTGAGAAGTGAGTCCTGTGAGTCCAACTTGCTAGCCAAACACTTGGCCAACCAATTTATCTTCCTAGCCATTGACGAAATTTTATCTGAAGGATGGCTTTTGTTTTCAAGTTGAGGTGACTGCACTATAAGTGTTCCATCTGAGTCTATTTCTAAATATTTTAAATATTTTAGTGACCCTTTTAAGAAATAGACCACAACAAGATATCTGTAGCTAGTCAGAGTTGATCATAGAATTCCATCTTTGCACTGAATTATTTTAAGAAATATAATGTCTTTTACCATTGCCTCTATGGGTAGACAGTTGATGGATTCATATATGTTCATGCACATGCATGTGTTTGAGCTTACACACACACACACACACACACACACACACACACACACACACACACTATTCAGAGAGGTCTGCTTATAAGTTTGAAGATCTGAGTTTGGATGTCCAGAAAGCTTGTAAAAAGATAGGCAGGAGTGGCATCTCCCTATAATCCTGGCACTAAAATTACAGTATGGTTATGACTTTAATTTCCATTTTTTTACAGGTCACCAAGAAAATAACAACTTCTGTTCTGTTAACATAAATATTGGTCCAGGAGATTGTGAATGGTTTGTTGTTCCTGAAGATTATTGGGGTGTTCTGAATGACTTCTGTGAAAAGTATGTTTCATAAGTAAACGTTATTTTAAGATCAGTCAAAACAGGTGTGAAGATTAAAGAAAAACAAAAAACAGTTTTTTAGTGCAAGGGCCAATTTTTACTCTTGAACAGTTTTCATTAGGAACTTATGTGACATTACGGGAGATTTTACACAACCTTTAATCCCTTATAGGGCACTAATCCAAAGAAGTGATTTTACCAAAATTTAACTTGGTGAGCCAATGGATTTATTGGAGTTACTTAATAACAGTATGGATGAGGTGTTACATGGAGGAGGATGGTTTGAAAGAATGAAAGAGACCTAATTTTTTCCTCTGCAAGCAGTTATCAATTGGAAGAAGGTTTTGGTTTTGGAATGAACCTTGTGTCTTCTTTCCATCTTATCACTGACACCCTATCTGTCTTGGACTTGTCCAAGCCCTGTTTATGTAGCCACAGTGCCTATGTGAGTATTATTTAGAAAGGCTTGTTTCCTTAGAGCCCCTCAACTTTTTTTTTTTACATGTTGATTCCAGTTTACCCTCTCTCGGTCCCTCACTCCCTCCATCTCTCTATCCTTCCCTCCCTCCCTTTTACCTTCTCTGCCCCCTCACATGCACCCTGACCCTCCCATCCCCCAACCCCAATTCCACATGTAGGGCAATGCCATCCAGTTGGGATCATGTAGGTCTGACAGGTCATGTGAAGTAGGGACTAGGGCTTCTTTCCTGTCTCTAGGTTAAGGCAGTTATCCCTCCATGGGGGATGTACTCGCAAAGTCCTTTTGTGCACCAGGGATACATCCTGGCTGCACTGTCTGAGGTCCCTTAGACTGCTCAGTCCTTCTGGCTGAGACCCATGTTCAGGGGACCTGAGTCAGTCCCATGCTGGCTTCCCAGCTATCAGTCTGGAGGCCCATTAGCTCCTCCTTGTTCAGGTCAGCTGTCTGTATGTGTTTCTGCAACCTGGTCTTATCCTCTCCCTCTGCTTCTGAATTCTAGCTTGACTGAATGTTAGTTATGAATGTTTGCTTCTGTTTCCGACAGGTACTAGATGAGGGCTCCATGATGGTGGATAAGTTAGTTGTTGATCTCATTATCCAGGAAGGGCATTTATGGTAGTCTTTCCTCGGTTGCTCAAATTGATAGTTGGCAACAGTCTTGTAGGTCTCTAGAAATTTCTTTAGGTTCAGTTTTCTCTCCAAACCAATAATGGCTTCCTCTTTTATGTTCTCTCTCTCTCTCTCTCTCTCTCTCTCTCTCTCTCTCTCTCTCTCTCTCTCTCTCTCTCCCCTGTCTTCTATTCCTAACCAGGCTCAATCTTCCTGGTCACACATGTTTTCCTTTCCTCGCCCTCGCTTTCTCCTACTTCTCTGTCCATTCACTGCCCCCCCCCTCACATCCCCTGTGCTTGGGGGACTTGTCCCTTCCCAGTTCTGTGAGGGACTTTATATGAATCTCTTAGAATACACCACCTTGTATCCTAGTTCCTCTGGTGGTGTGAATTATTGGCTAGTATCCTTTGATCTAGGTCTAAAATCAATATATGAGTGAGTACATACCATGTTCCTCTTTATGTGACTGGGTTACCTTATTCAGGATGGTTTCTTCAAGTTCCATCCACTTGCCTGTGAAATTCAAGATTCCATTGTTTATTTCTGCAGAGTAGTATTCCATTGTATAGAGTGCCACATCTTCTTCATCCATTCTTCAGTTGAGAGGTATCTAGGTTGCTTCCAGGTTCTTGCTATTACAAATAGTGCTGCTATGAACATAGTTGAGCACATGTCTTTGTTGCATGGATGTGGATCATTTGGGTATATGCCTAAGAGGGGGATTGCCAGGTCCTGTGGTAAACTAATTCCCATTTTCCTGAGGAATCCCACACTGATCTCCATAATGGCTCTACAAGTTGTACTCCCTCCAGCAGTGGAGGAGTGTTCCCCTTTCTCCACATCCTCTCCAACATGAGTCATCACTGGTGTTTCTAATTTTAGCCATTCTGGCAGGAGTAAGATGGTATCTCAAAGTTGTTTTGATTTGTTTTTCCCTGAAAGCTAAGGATGTTGAGCACTTTCTTAAGTGTCTTTCAGCCTTTTTGATTTCCTCTATTGAGAATTCTTTCTTCAGTTCTGTACCCCATTTTTAATAGGGTTATTTGGTGTTTTGTTGACTAGTTTCTTGAGTTCTTTGTATATTTTGGAGATCAGCCCTTTGTCGGATATAGGATTGGTGAAGATCTTTTCCCAGTCTGTGGGCTGCCGTTTGGTCTTGTACACTGTTTCCTTTGCCGTATAGAAGCTTCTAAGTTTGAAGAGGTTCCATTTATTAATTATCGATCTCAGTGTCTGTTCCCCTGGAAAGTTAAGGGAGTGGTCTCCTATACCAATTTGTTCAAGAGTACCTCCTACTTTCTCTTCTAAGAGGTTCAGTGTGGCTGTATTTATGTTGAGGTCTTTGATCATTTGGACTTGAGTTTTGTGCATGGCGATAGACATGGGTCTATCTGCAGTCTTCTACACACCCTCATCCAATTGTGCCAGCACCATTTGTTGAAGATGCTGTCCTCCCCACATTGTATTCTTTTAGCTCTTTTGTTGAAAAACAGGTGTTCATAGGTTCATATCAGGATTTTCAATTTGATTCCATTGATCTACCTGTCTATTTTTGTGCTAATACCGGGCTGTTTACAGAAATATAGCCCTGTAGTAAAGCTTAAAGTCAGGGATGGTGATGGCTCCTGAGGTTCTTTTATGTACAGGGTTGTTTTGGCTGTCCTGTGTCTTTTGTTTTTCCACATATAGTTGATTATTATCCTTTAAAGGTAGTGAAGAATTGTGCTGGGGTTTTAATGGGGATTGCATTAAATCCATAGATTGCTTTTGGCAAGATTACCATTTTTATTATATATATCCTACCTATCCAAGAACATGAGAGATCTTTCCATTCTCTGGTCTCTTCTTTAATTTCTTTCTTTAAAGCCACAAAGTTCTTATTATAGAGCTCTTTCAGTTGTTTGGTAAGTGCTAACCCAAGATACTTTATGTTGTTTGTGGCTATTGTAAACGGTGATGTTTCACTGATTTCTCTCTCGGCCTCTTTTTCATCTGAAAAAAGTAGGGCTACTGATTTTTTTTTTTTTTTTTTTTTTTTTGAGTTTATCTTTTATCCTTCTAGTTTGCTGAAGTTGTTTATCAGCTGTAGGAGTTTCCTGGTAGAGTTTATTGGGTTGCCTATGTAAACTATCATATCATCTGCAAATAGAGACAGTTTGACTTCTTCCTTTCCAATTTGGATGCCCTTGATCTCCTTTTGTTGTCTTCTATCTTTAGCTAGAACTTCAACTACAATACTGAGGTATGGAGAGGGAGGGCAGCCATGTCTTGTTTATGATTTTGGAGGAATTATGTTACGCTTCTCTCCATTCAGTTTGATGTTGGCTGTTGGTTTGCTGTATATTGCTCTTATTATGTTTAGGTATGTTCCTGTTATCCGTGATCTCTCCAAGACCTTTATCATGAAAGGATGTTGAATTTTGTTGAAGGCTTTTTCAGCGTCTAGGGAGATGATCATGTGGTTTTTCTTTTTCAGTTTGTTTATATGGTGGATCACGTTGATAGATTTTCGTATGTTAAATCATCCCTGCAACCCAGGGATGAAGCCTACTTGGTCATGGTGGATGATTTCTCTGATGTATTCTTGAATTCGGTTTGCCAGTATTTTATTGAGTATTTTTGCATCGATGTTCGTCAGGGATATTGGTTTGTAGTTTTCTTTCTTAGTTATGTCTTTGTGAGGCTTGGGTACCAACGTGATTGTGGCCTCATAAAAAGAGTTGTGTGGAACAATTTGAGGATTCTTGGTAATAGTTCTTCCTTGAATTTCTGGTAGAATTCTGCAGTGAAGCCATCTGGCCCTGGGCTTTTTTTGGTAGGAAGGCTTTCGATGACTACTTCTATTTCATTGTGGTTTATCGGTCTATTTAACTTGTTTGTGTCTGTTCTTGATTTAATTTTGGTAAGTGATTGTTATCCAGAAATTTGTTCATTTCCTTTGAATTTTCAAATTTTGTGGAGTACAGGTTTTCAAAGTATGACCTGAAAGTTGTCTGGATTTCCTTGTGTTTGTTGTTGATTTTGTTAATTTGCATGTTATCTCTCTGCTTTTTTGTTATTTTGGGTAAAGGTTTGCCTATCCTGTTGATTTTTCTCGAAAAATCAATTCTTTGTTGCATTGGTTTTTTTTTTTTTTGTATTGTTTTCCTGGTTTCTGTTTTATTGATTTCAGCCTTCAAATTGGTTGTTTCCTGTCATCTACTCCTCTGCAGTGAGTTTGCTTCTTTTTGTTCTAGTGCTGTTAATTCTCTAATGTGACTATATCCTGTTTTCTTCATATGGGCACTTAGTTTATTGAACTTCCCTTGTAACACTGTTTTCAAGGTGTCCCATAAGTTCGGGTATGTTGTGTCCTCTTTCTCGTTAATTTTAGAAAGTCCTTGATTTCTTTCTTTATTTCTCCTTTGATCCAGGTGTGGTGCAATTGCACATTGATCAGTTTACATGAGTTTTCAGGTTTTTGTGATTTGTGGTGTTGTTCAATTCTAACTTTATAAAGTATGGTGGTCTGATAATTTACAGGGGGCTATTCCAATTTTTTTTTGTTGTTTTGTTTTGTTTTTTTGTATCTTTTTAGCTTTGTTATATTGCTGAGGATGTGTTCGATTTTAGATAGGGTTCTATGTGGAGCTGAGAAGGTGGTATATTCTTTTGTGATTAAACAGAATATTCTATAAATGTCTGTTATACCCAATTGGATCATAACTTCTGTTAGTTCCTTTGTTTCTTTGTTAAGCTTATGTCTGGTGGACCGTCTAGTGTTGAGAGTGGAGTATTGAAATCTCCCATTATAAGTACCTCTGGTTTTTTGTGTGATTTGAGTTTTATTAATGTTTCTTTTATGAGTTTGCATGTCTTTGTATTTGGGGTGTAGATGTTCAAATTGAGACTTCTTGATGTATTTCTCCTGTGTTGAATAAGAAATAACCTTCTTTGTCTATTTTGATTAATTTTAGGTTAAGGGCTAATTTGTTAGTATATGTATTGCCACACCCTCTTATTTCTTGTTTCTATTTGATTGGAAAGTTTTTTCCAAACCCTTAATTCTGAGGTAGTGTCTGTCTTTGAATTTGAGGTGTGTTACTGGTATGCTGCAAAAGGATGGATTCTGTCTTTGTATCCATTCTTTAGTGTCTTTTTATAGGTACATTGAGACCATTAATATTGAGGTATAGTAATGACCATTGATTGTTAATTCTTGTTTGTTTTGGATTTGCTCTTGGTGGTGATTTTGTGTGTGGATTTTCCGGTTGGTTGTTGTGGTTGTAGTTTATTTCTTTGGATTGGAGTTTTCCTTCTAGAACTTTTTGTAATGCTGGATTAGTTGATGTGCATTGTGAATTTGGTTTTATAATGAAATATCTTGGTTTCTCAATTGATAGTGATTAAAAGGTTTGCTGAATACAGTAGTCTGGATTTGCATCCATGATCTCTTATTGTTGGCAGAATATCCAGGAACTTCAGTGTTTCTCTGGAGAAGTAAGGTTTAATTTTGAATGTTTGCCTTTAAACGTTACTTGGCTTTTTACTTTGCAGCTCTTAATATTTTTTCTTTATTCTGTATGTTAGGTGCTTTTTATTATTTGGTGAGGGGACTGTATTTGTTGTTCTGTAAGCTTTTTGTACTTTCATTGGCATGTCTTTCTTTTGGTTGAGGTAGTTATTTTCTGCACCTTTGAGTTGGATTTTTTCACTTTCTATATCTATTATTCTTAGGTTTGGCCTTTTCCCTGTGTCCCTGTTGGGAGCCAGCCTTGAGTCACATCCTCTTGCAGAATTACTTACACCTTAAAACTCTAATTGAGCCTTATCTTGGTAAAACAGAAAACTGCTTAAAAAAAAAAAAAAAAGGCAGTCTGTTCCATTCAACCCAGGAACTGAGATGGACCATGACACCAGGAACTGAGATAAGCAGACATTTATGGCCTGGGACAATACCAGAGCCCCAGAGTCAGCACAGCTACCCTTCCCCATTTCCTCCCTGCTTTGCTTTAAAAACCGGTCTTTGTGCCTAATAAAGTGAGACATTGACAAGCATTGCATAGTCTCATTCCTTCTTTCCCTCCCATTATTTTCAGGTTCTAGCCCACCTCTGCCCCCGAATTACTAGGCCCCGCTGGTCGGGGCATGTCCCATATTTCCTGGATATTTTGTGTCAGGGATTTGTTCGACTTAAGATTTTCTTTGGTTGATGATTCTATTTATCCTAGTATATCTTCAGTGCCTGAGATTCTGTCTTCCATCTCTGTATTCATTTGGCTGTGTGCATCTGTAGTTACTGATTGCTTGCCTAACATTTCTATTTCCAGCATTCCCTGAGACTGTGGTTTTTTTTTTTTTTTTTTTTTTTTTCGTTTTGTTTTTCTCCTATTCAGCTTTCAAACCTTGCACTGTTTGAATCATTTCTCTTAATGTTTGATTTATCTTTTCCTCCTTTCCTTGAATTTTTTCTTCTTTTACTTTAAGGGATATTTCGTTTCCTCTGTTATCCTCCTGAAGTTGTTTTTAGTGTCATTCTCTTCTGCTTCATCTGTGTTGGGATGGTCAGTTCTTGCTGGTGTAAAGTCCATAGACTATGGTGGTGTCATATTGATCTGTTGTTGACTGTATTCTTACACTGTTGTCTTCCCATCTCTTCTTCCAGTGCCTACTGGTAGGGTTTCTCCCTCTTCTGGTGGGTAAGAGACCAATGTTCTCTTCCAGTGGGTACAAGCAGTTCCAATAGTCCGATGGCTCACCTACTTAAGTGGGTAGTGGAGGGATTCCTCCTTTGGTTGGAGGTGGTACCAGGATGCTGGCAGCCTCCGGGAATGGCTGGACTTCTAGAGCATACTCCCCTACATGTAGTCTTCAGTCCTCAGGATGCTCCGAGCTGGGTGCCGGAAGTCAGTTCAGAGACAGGCTCACACTTACCCCTTCCAGTGGTTGGAGGTAGGATCAGGATACTTGTGGTCTCTAGGTGGGCCAGACCACTAGGGTGGGCTCCCCTGCGTGTAGTCCTTAGTCCTCAGGCTCTACTTAAAATTCTTATGCCTCTTTTCCCTAAGCCTTGAGTAGGGAGCGATTTGAAAGAGGCATTCCATTTTTGGACCAAGTGATCCAAAGTTTCTTATTCTGTTGCTAAATTGTGTTTCTAGTATTTTTTTCCATATACTGCAGGAGAAATTTTCTCTGATGATGGCTGAGTGTAGTAGAATGTTGATAGGAGTTATTTGTTTGGATTTCCCCACACATGCATTTTTGTGCATGGTTCTATCTCACTCAGACAGTGCTTGGTTACTCCTACATTTTTTGTGCCTCTATTACACTAATAAATCTTGCTGGCAGGTCACCATTGTATAGGCCCCAGGGTTTAGCTTAGTTGATGTTTAACTTTGTCCTGTATTCTTTATCCTTCTGGTTCCATTTTCTTCATGCATTTATTTGTTGAGAGACATATGTCGTTGCCAATTTTTGGTTGTCATGAAGAGTACCAATGCAAATGATCTGATGGTAGATCGTAGAGTCTTTAGGGTATATGTTTAAGAGAAGTATAGCTAGATCTTTCTGAGGAATTGACAAATATTTCCATAATGACTATAAAAGTTTTCATTTCAATCCTTGGCAACATGCTGCTGTTTTATTTTTCTTAGCTATTCTGATTGATGTAGGATGAAATTACAAACTAATTTTGATTTGTATTTCCCTGATGGCTAAGGATGTTTAACATTCCTCTTCAGTGTTCTAAGCCATTGAGTTTCCTCTATTGAGAATTCTCTGATTTTAATTGGGTTAGTTTTTTCTTGATATATTTCTCTTTGTAGTTTTTTAGGCCAGGAGTAGAGACTGAGAGGGCTTTAAGAAAGAGCTAAGGAATCCTGTTCACACTTAATGGCAGGGTTTCTAGGGAGTTTGAAGTGGTGGGAAAGGGGATCCTGTAAGTAGGTTAGTAGGGGAAAGAATTATCTGAAAAGGCAGTGATGAAAGAACCAGGAAGACCCTGGGCCTGAAGCAAGGGTTAGAGTTTCATTGAATGAGGTTTAACAGGGAGTAGAGGACCTGTAAGTGGTTTGTTACTGGATTGAGGGTGACATTGGAGACATCATAATGGAGAATGCTAATTGTGGTTCACTTGAGTCCCTTGGGTTTCCTGTGTAGAAATTGGTTTTATATATCATAGACTCAGTCTAAGGAATGGGGTTGGCTAGAGTTGGGCTGTATATGTGACTGTCCACAGAAAAGAGGAAGGATAGCTAGTTTAACACCAGGGTTTTGTGGAAATCCCATTGTCAGGAATGGAACCTCTATAAGCAATCTGCTACCGGGCTGAAATGAAACTAGAGAGATTTGTAAGGAGGCGGTTAAGGAGAATAATGACCACCTACCTGAGTTCCAGTGCAGTGTTGCTACTGAATTCTTAAAATGTTTGTAGGCATAGGTACGCTACAGCAGGATGGGAGGAAGGAGCATAAAAGTGGGAGGAAAGAACACTGCAAGCAGGGATTGGTATCAGACTGGAGAGATTTCAATTAAGAACAAGAAGGAAAGTGGGTCCTTGAATCCAGGTCCAGGGTAACCTATAGAAAGTGTTTCTCAAGTTTTACATTGCAATAAAAATTATAAGAAAAATATTTTCAAATTTTCTTTAACTTAATAGTGACACCGATGATGGTATTACAAGTATTTATGGATGTTCATATCTTGTTTCTTATAATGGTAATGCTTTGGATAGTTTCCTTCAATTTCATTTAAGACAATGAGAAATAGACTTTTGGTCCATTTTTTTTTTTTGATAATAATTTATTATAACTGTAGGGAAAGTTTTTAATTTATCTGGAGGTTCTGTTTCTCATATCTTCCTTTATGATTATAGTTAATGAGTCTGTTCAAAGATTTACATAGTCCATAGTTAATGAGTCTATTCAAAGAATTACATAGTACTTATGGTCAATATATGTTTAACCGTTAAAGTTGAAACTTTTAGTATTTTTCCTGGCCAAACTCTACCCTCCCTCTTCACCCACCTTTACATATTCCTTCTCTGTGAAACAAAGAATATTATAAAATAAGAAACTTCACAAACACACAAAAATGAAAATCAAAAAAGGCAGGCAAAAGACAAATAAACAAATAAACAAAGCCAAAACAAAGAAAACAAAACAGCTCACCAAAATACCATTTAATTACTTAGTTAAATTATTTATTTCCACTTGTCTTCTCAGCCCTGAGATCTATTCTGACATGGGTCTATGTGGGCCCTGTGCATGTAGCCAAGGTATCCGTAAGTTGTATCAGTTCTATTGTGAATGAAAGACATTGTTTTCTTGGATTCATCAATCCCCTTTGGCTCTTAAAAATCTTTATACCTTCTTTTCTACATGGATCTCTGGGCTTTGATGATGACATCTCATTTAGGAATAAGTCTCTCACTAGCTACCCATTGTCTTGTAGGTGTCACTGTTAATGTTTAACATTGTGTTTCACAAAAGCGAATTTAAGTCTTTATATAAATAAGTAATCTATTGTAGCTCTTTTGCTTTACAGTCTAACATTTTAATGAAATATTATAGCATTTAAAACTTTGAGATTACTGTTGCCTTCCATAAGTCTTTAAATATTAGAGTATTTAATATTAATACTAGAATAATATTACACTATTAAATTTAATATTTAATAATAGACTATTTAAATATTTGACTATTCCCCTCCTCCAGAAATAATTTGAATTTCCTGATGAGTTCTTGGTGGCCAAACCTTGAAGATCTTTATGAAGCAAATGTTCCTGTATATAGGTTTATTCAGCGACCTGGAGATTTGGTCTGGATAAATGCAGGCACTGTCCATTGGGTTCAGGCTATTGGGTGGTGTAACAACATTGCCTGGAATGTTGGTCCACTTACAGGTATTTAAGATGCACACCAATGTTGGTTTTTATTTTATAGCTCAATTCTCTACATGTTTTGTTTTGTGTAAGCAGAAAGCTCAGTTAAAGTAAGAAAGGAATACTTATTATACAGAATAATTCAAACCTAACAAGTGGCATTCCAATAAAAGATTTGAGCAAAGTAGTGTATTTCTTTCTGTATACATTAGTATGTATGCCCATTTGATTTGTAGTTCTTTGCTTCATTTTCATATCGCTCTTTAGAGTTTGCTAAAACATTGGCAGTTATTCTTCATAATTTTTTAAAGATTATTTGTTTTATGTATATGAGAGTTTGGCTTGGTTGTATTATTTGATGTGTTCTTTGTACCACCAAATGTTGGAATGTTAGATTTTTTGGAACTGCAGTTCCAGACAGTTTAGGCCTGTCTTGTGGGCAGTGGGAATTGAAGCTTGGTTCCTCTGCAAGATAAACAAATGCTCTTAACCACTGAGCTGTCTCTCCAGCCCCTCTTCTTTAGAATTCTTATTTCATGTAATACAGGAAACCTTAGTATGTGTAACTTTAATATAAAATAAAGTCTGGCCTTCAGCACCAGAAGGACCTAAACTGGAGATATACTCTATATCTTTGTTATTTACACTATTATTTTTAACTCTTTGGGCCCTAATTCATCATTTACTATATGTAGACTATTTGAAAGGGTTAATTTAAAAAAATGTAAAAATAACTTTATAATACCTTAAGATTATTACATGATAGATCTTTTTGAAACTATCATCAGTATATTAAACGTAATTTACCATGCCTTTAGATTTTTCAGAATTCTTGCACTTACAAGATAAGATATGATAATAGGTGTTCTAATTCTACTTTATAACAGTCTCTTTTTTGTCTTTCTAGCTTTTCAGTATAAATTGGCAGTTGAACGTTATGAATGGAACAAATTGCAAAGTGTCAAGTCAGTAGTACCCATGGTTCATCTTTCATGGAATATGGCACGAAATATCAAAGTCTCAGATCCAAAGCTTTTTGAAATGATTAAGTAAGTACTTAATTGTTCCCAAGTTACATTCATTTATCTTGGGACAAGATATGCCATATAACATATGTGTAACTCAGAGGACAACTTGCATTTTGCTTACTTAATTATACTTCATGGATAGTTTTAATTGAGCCTAGCCATTCTGACAGGTATAAGATGTAATCTCAAATTTGTTTTAATTTTTATTTGGCTGTGCCTAAGGGTGTTGAGTGATTCTTTAAATCTATCTCAACCATTTGAGATTCAGAATTTTCTCTTTAGATCTATACTCCATTTTCGTTGGATTATTTGGTTTTGTTTTGTTTTTTATTTTTGTCTTTCTTTTACCCTCCTGGTTTTTTGAGACATGGTTTTTCTGTGTATCTTTGGAGTCTGTTATGGAATTCATTGTGTACACTGCCTGCCTCTGCCTCCTGAGTGCTAGTATTAAACCACTGCCCAGAGATTATTTGATATTTGTTGTCTAGTTTCTTAAATTCTTTATATATTTTGGAGATCACCCTCTGTCAGATGTGGCATTGTTGTAGATCTTTCCCCATTCTGTTGGCTACTGTTTTGTCTTGTTAATTTGTCCTTTGCTTTTCAGTTTCAGGAGGTCCCATTTATTAATTGTTGATCTCAGTGTCTGTGCCACTGGTGTTATGTTCAGGAAATGGCTCTTGTACCAATTCATTCAAGGCCACCACCCACTTTCTCTTCTAAGAGATTCATTGTGGTTGGATTTATGTTGAGGTCTTTGATCCACTTGGAATAGAGTTTTATGCATGGCAATAGTTATTTATCTATTTGCATTCTTCTAAATACAGATATCCAGCTTGACCTGTACCATTTGTTGAAGATGCTTTTTTACCCCATTATATAATTTTGGCTTCTTTTTCAAAAATCAAGTGTCCATAGGAGTGTAGATTTGTATCTATTCCATTGATCCACCTTTCTGATTTGTGCCAATATGAAGCTGTCTTCATTACCATAGCTCTATCGTAGCATTTGTAGTCAGAAGATCCTTTATTGTACAGGATTATTTTATTCACGGGTTTTTAGTTTTCTTGTTGTTTCAAAGTCTGTGAAGAATTGTGTATTAAATCTGTAGATTGCTTTGACATGATGGCCATTTTTACTATGCTAATGCTACCATTCCTTGAGCATGGGAGATCTTTCTATCTTCTGAAATTTTCTCTAATTTCTTTCTTCAAAGATTTGAAATTCTTGGCTTATAGGTTTTTTAGTTGTTTGGTTAAGGTTACACCAAGATATTTTATATTATTTGTGGTTACTGTGAAGGGTGTTGTTTCCCTGATTTGTCATTTTGCATTTGCTACTCGTTTGTTTGTTTGTTTTTGAGTAAATCTTGCATTCAACCACTTGATTTGTTTATCGGGTGTAGGAGTTCCCTGGTAGAGTTTATTGGGTCACTTATGTAAACTGTCATATCATCTGCAAATAGAGACAGTTTGACTTCTTCCTTTCCAATTTGTATCCCTTTCATATCCTCCTGTTGTTGTCTTATTGCTTTAGCTGTAGCCAAAGTACAATATTGAAGATATGGAGAGAGTGGATAACCTTGTCTAGTTCCTGATTTTAGTGAAAATGTTTGAGTCTCTCTCACTTCATGTTGACAATGGCTTGATGTATATTGCTTTTTTATCTTTAGGTATGTTTCTTGTATTTCCAAGACCTTCCTCTGTCCATGAAGGGATGTTCGGTCTCCACGAACACCTTTTCTTCATCTAATGAGATAATAATGTGATTTTTTTTCTCTTGGTTTGTTTATATGTTAGATTACATTGACAGATTTTCTTATTTTGAACCATTTCTGCATCTCAAGGATGAAGCCTGCTTGATTATGGTGCAGCATCTTTTTGTTTGCCAGTGTTTTCTTGCATATTTATGTGTCTATGTCATGAAAGAAATTAATCTGTAATTAACAATCTTTGTTTTGTCTGTGTGTTTTGGGTATCAGGATGACTGTGGCCTCGTAAAAATATTTGACAATGTTACTTCTCTTCTGTTTCGTGGAATAAGTTAAGGTATTAGCTCTTCTTTGAAATTCTGGTTCAATTCTGTGTTAAAACTGTCCAGCTCTGGGCTGTTTTGGTTGGAGGACTTTTAATGACTGCTTAGGAGTTATAGGTCTATTTTAATTGTTTATGTGGTGTTGATTTAATTTTGGTAAATGGTATCTATCACGAAATTTGTGCATTTCTTTTAGATTTCCAACTTTTGTGGAGTACAGGTTTTTGAAGTATGACCTAATGATTCTGTATATTTTCTCAGTGTCTAGTGCTATGTCTCTCTTTTCATTTCTAGTCTTATTACTTTGGATATTCTCTCTATGCAATTTCATAAGTTTGGGTAAGGGTTGTTTATCTTTTTGGTTTTCTCATGGAACCAACTCTTTGTTTCATTGATTCTTTTTATTGTTCTCTTTGTTTTTATTTTGTTGACTTCAGCTTTCAGTTTGATTATTTGCTACCATCCACTCTCCTTGTGCTCGTTTGTTTCTTTCTGTTCTGGAGTTTTCAACTGTGATGTTAAGTGAATCTCTCCACTAAATGAAGGCATTTAGTGCTAAATAACTTTTCTCTTAAACTGTTTTCATAGTGTCCCGTAAGTTTGGGTATGTTGTGCATTCGTTTTCATTGAATTCTAAGAAATCTCAATTTCTTCTTGACCTAGTGGTAATTCAGTTGAGAATTTAAAGTTTCCACAAGTTGGTTGACTTTCTGTAGTTTCTGTTGTTGAGATCCAGTGTTAATCCACTATGGTCTGATAAAATACAGGGGAATACTTCCCCCCTATTTTTGTGTGTGTATTTTAAGATTTGCTTTGTGACCAAGTATATGGGTATGTTTGGAGAATGTTCCATGAAGTGCTGAGAAGAGGTATATTCTGTTTTGTTTTGGTGAAATGTTTTGTTGATATTTAAGTCCATTTGAGTAATAATATCTGTTAACTGCATTATTTCTCTGTTTAGCTTTTGTCTACATGACCCATCTGTTGGTGAGAATAGGGTGTTTAAGTTTTCCAGTATTAGTACGTGGAGTTTGGTGATTTACACTCTAGTAATGTTTGTTTTACAAATGTGGGTCGCTTGTATGTGGGCGTTAATATTCAGAGTTGAGATTTCATCTTGATGGATTGTCCTTTCAAGAATATGAAATAACCTTCTCCATCTCTTTTGATTAATTTTGGTTTGAAGTATGTTTTGTTAGATATTAGGATCACTACAGGATTTTTAGGTATATTTGATTGGAAAATCATTTTCCAACCCTTTATTCTGAGTTAATGGCTGTCTTTGGTGTTGCACTTTCTCTCTTGACAGGGAGTTTTAACTTGTTTTGTTCACTAAGAATTCTATTGATATGAAATGACTTGGTAATATACAGACTTGACATTTTTATGAGAATACACATTAAATGTTTAGCTATTGAAGACAAATATGAAATTTAGTCTACAGAGTAATGATAGCAATCAGTATTGATGACATGCTCAAAATTTGCTAAGGGTGATGGCTTTAGTATATTCTGGCTCAAAGAAAACAGCTTGATGCACTGAATATGGGTATCACACTGAAAATAATGCATGCACTGCATTAAGTAAAATCATACTGTTACACATTTTATAACTAAAATAGTACACTCTGTTTAAATGTCTGTTCCCAGTATGCTTTTAAAATGCCCAGGTGAAACATCTCTGTGCATTCCCAGAACTTCATAGAAGTCCACCATGTTTTAACAGATAGTTGGAACGAATTTGCATACACATAATAGGGAAGACAGGTAATCTGTCTCCTCTAAGCTCTACTATAGTTGTGCTGGTGGTAGTGGCTCCTCACTCTTTCCTTTTTTCCTTTGAATTACTTGATATTTTTTTTCTTGGTGATGTCCCATCATTTTGGAAGATTGGTGTCATTTTTATTGATTTCTCTTTCTTTAATACTGTATAAATATGTTGTATTTTCTTTACCTTACCTTTAGACCCTGTTATTTCTTTGACTTGACCTAATTAGTGATACTTTCTACTTTATTTAAACATTTTATCATGTAGTGTATAATAAATGGAGTTCTCTATATTCCCAGTCTAGTCTTCAGCTTTGATCTGTGTGCCTCTTCCATCCCCTGGTATGGTGCTCATATGTCTGACTTTCATTGGGTTTCTCACTTGATTGGCTTTACCAACATTTATGGTGGTGGTACTTCTGCTGGTGCTGGTGTTGGTGGTTCTGGTGCAGGTGGTTGCTAGTGCCTGTGTGTGCATGTGTGTTGGGTTTTTCTTTTTTCTTGCTTCTAGCATATTTGCATCCCTTTCTTGATATAATAGATTTTGCTGAATCTCATACAGTCATCCATTCCTTGACTTACTTCATCTCTTGTTTGATGGAGTTGAAATTCTTTGTTACCAATGCAAATATTTTTGTATCATTAGAGTCAGCAATTAAAGAGATGTTGTCTTTAAAGGAAACACATTGCCCCTGTTCCCCATATAAGTTTACAATTCACAATTTTCTTATGTTTTGGTCTTGTTAGTGAACTACCTTATCTTAAGGGCTAAATCTTTAATAGAATGCAGGCAGGAGAAAACTTTAACAACATTTTCACCAATCTAAAGCAGTTATACTCTACAATTAAAATGAAGCCAAAAATGTAGATATAGTGCACACACAGATAAACCTCTAGAACATACTAAGTAGAAGTGTCCAGACACAACAGATCACATGTTGTGGCTGTACCTGTTTACTAGCCCTGGAAAGTTGGCTAGATTTCTTTCTTGTTGAATGAATCTTAGGTCCAATTAGAGAGGTGTTGGTTGCTGCCAAAAGTAATTATACCACTACTCCATCCTTAGGGTTTTCATGCCATGTTGATGATAACCTCCATAATATTCCCCATTCATGTCATTTTCTATTAAATTTTCTTTCCCCTTCCTTATCTTCTTTATTCTGTTTACAAACCTAGTTTCAGTAATAACTTCATGTTACAAATTTACATATGAAGATTTTG